AAATTTGGTGCAGGGGCCTAATATGAGACCGCTGAAAAATTTGGTGGTTTGGTGTGGCTGATTTTTTTTAGCATGTGTCAAATTTTGTTTGGGTAAAGCGTTGCATGTCCACGCAATTACCAGTTAAAGTAGCACAATGCTAAATAGAGTAAAAAATGGACTGGTCATGAATAGTGATGGGCCGAACACTCTCCTGTTCGGTTCGCAGAAGAACATTAACTATATTATTACGTCATGCGGTATTTTAGCAGTGAAACATTCTTTAATGTTTCAGTTGTCAGCGGGGTTCATTTTTCTACCTATGAGAATTATCAAAGACTATGTCTTAAAGTGTTACTAAACCCAGAACAGTAAAATCAGTCTGTATATGCAGCAAAGCATGCTTGTTATACTCACTGTGGAACCTAAGGGGTTAATCCTCTACATTGTGTAAAAAGGCTGTTTGATCCTGACTTCTCTGCTCCTCATCTTGTTCAAATGTCCACGTCTTATCTCCTGATAAGACAGACAGAACCGTAGCCATTCTGTAAATGCTCAGTTTAGTGTGTATTGCTAGAGAGGTTTTTTTTTTTTTTTCGTGGAGTGCATGCGATGAACACAGGGCTAATCAGCACTGTCCAGACAGAGGTCAGGGGTTTGCATCCTCCTAGAGCAGAAAGAAAAATCCTCCTACATGCTCTGCTGGACACTGATAGAAGTCACAAGACTGCTATAGACTGCTGATGAGAAAAGGTATTTAGCCGTTTGTATTCACTACAATAATTGCATTTCCATGTTGTGTGTACTGTGAGAGACCAGATATAGTGAATGCAGGGTCCTGGGTTTAGTAATACTTTAAATATACTAGCATCTTAGAGTGGTACAGCACCGAAGATTCACAGGAAGAACGAAAGGGATTTAATTTGCTTAATCTAGAGAGAGACAGTATAATACTACAAACAAAGAAATATGCATCAGAAAGGGTTGGAAACTTGGATCATTCTTAGTATCTGCAATTCTCCTAATGAACTCACAGAAGTAGGAAAAATGAGGAAAAGAAACTTTATTTTTTTCCTTGTGCATTGGCAAGATGTATTGTCTGTTATCTGCATACTAGTGTTTACAGTTGGCTGTGGTGCAAATGCCTGGTGTACTAAGGGAGGAGTAGGCTGATTGGCCTGAGAGATGGTAGGTGCGGTGTATTGGCCTTAGTTGAGAATTACAGCTGCTGTGGCTTGGAGCTTAACCACTTGCCTACTGGGCACTTTTACCCCCTTCCTGCCCAGGCCAATTTTCACCTTTCAGTGCTGTTGTACTTTCAATGACAATTGCGCGGTCATGCAACACTGTCCCCATATGAAATTTTTATCATTTTTTCAACACAAATAGAGCTTTCTTTTGGTGGTATTTAATCGCCACTGGGGTTTTTATTGATTGCACTGTAAATGAAAAAAAGCAAAACATTTGAAAAAAAAAAAAAAGTAAATATCCGTAACACAGATTGGTAAATCTAGCACACTCTACTGGATAAGCTCAACACAGCATGTGACTGAGGTCATTTACTCTATGATTAGAGAACACTAGCCAGCACACAACTAAGCTGACTAAACCTCTATAACAGATCACAAAATACAAATTGAGAATTTGGAAAAATATTCCATCCCCGCACATTGATGATGCAAGTGTGCAGGAGTTACTTTGTCTTTTAATGGTATACTAGACTGGCAGGAAGGAAAAGGGAAGGGTAGGGAAAAGCTTGGCATAAAAGGCATACAACGTTTCTTTTACTATAAAGCCACACTTAATAACTTTATTTTTAATTGAAGTTTAGCTTTGCTTTAAGCAACAAAAAAGCCTGTTAGTGAATTTTCGAAAATGTATCAGAAATGGTGCTCAAGTTTTTAGTTACAGCTGCACGAATACAGATATTTTTAATGTGCATACATCCATTAGATGGTGCTCTTTACTGCTGATGATATATTTTAAAAACAAAAATGAAACAAATCGCACTGGGAAGCTTTTTACAGCAGAGTTAAATACACGTTCTCTATTTAAAGCTGAACAATATGAAATAAAATTGGCTAAATGACAGTGCATTCAAATCCAAAGAGTCTATTATAATGAATCAGGACCACATTTCAATTACACATTCCCTCAGGCTCCCTTAGGAATTATGCATTCTGTATAAGTGAACCCTGCTTTGATACAACACATAGATACTGTTATTCCTATGTCTTTTTTTAAGCCCCTGATGCCGACTGCACGCAAAGTAGAGGCCTCACAGAACTGGGTTTCTTTTCTATGGGGCCCCTAATTTGTGTACCTGTCTTTCTGCTGGAAGAACGCCGCATGGTGCACTTCCAGCACAAAGACCGGGGTGTCACTGAGAGCCCCGGGTCCCGTTCTAACGATTGAGACCCTGAACTCCCGATTCCGGGTCACCTGATCGCTGTGATAGCCTCTGATTGGCTATCACAGTGATCAGTCACCGTGAAGCTCCCCCCCCCCCCCCTTGTTTTCTTTCTGTGACTGGAGGAGAGAGATACATTGTATCTCTCTCTGTCCTTTCAGAGAGGAAAAAAAAAGGGTGAAAAAAAAAAAAAATAATAAAAATAAAAAATAAACAAAAATACCTAAATTAAGGTTTTGAACTAGTTCTATGATACGGTAAGTGTTTAGGTCAATGTCAGAGTCGAAGGTCAAGGTCAGGACCAAGGGTGAGGGTCAGATTTTTTTTTAATTAGTGTCAGTGTCAGTTAGTGGCAGGATAAAAAAAAAAGTAAATTGCGCACTATTGTTTCTGGGCTGTACTACGGGTACAAACAACAACTAACATACACTGTGGTATCGCTGTGATCGCCAGGAGCAGGAGAAATTATTTTGGGTTGTTCATTGGTGAGTATGGTAGTAGCAAGAAATATACAGCTAAATTTAAAAGGTAAATTAAAAAAAATGTTTTTTACTATTTTGGGCCAATTTTCCTTTGGTAATAAAAAAAAATCAGGAGATATCCATTACCATTTACCACCAAATGAAAGCCCACTTTGTCCTGAAAAAAACAAGGTGTAATTCACCTGTATGTACAAAGTAGTTGCAAAATTGTGCTTCGGCATTAAGATTTGTTTTACCCTTAGGCACTAAGGGGTTAATTTATGCATAATACAATTGAAATATTATAATATATGTGTTTGTTTCCCCTCTAGTCTGTGTTAGACACCCCAAGGATTTTGCAGAGAGGCATGTTGAGTCCATGGAACATTTTATTTTTTGCCACACATTTTTTGAATATGACAATTTTTTTTTTTTTTTTTTTTCACAAAGTTGTCACTTTAATGGTATATTGCTCATGCATGCCATGAGTATATGTGGAATAACACCCCAAAACACATTCTCCTACTTCTTCTGAGTATGGGGATATACCACATGTGAGAGACTTTTTTTGGCAGCCTAGCTACATACAAGCCCCCAAAATCCAATGACCACCTCCAGGCTTTCAAAGGGCATATTTCTTCAAATCACTTCCCCACTACCTATCACAGTTTCAGAGGCTCTAAAATGCCATGATAGTACAATCACCCCCCCAAATGACCCTTTTTGAAAAGTAGACACCCCAAGGAATTTGATAAGAGGCATGGTGAGTATTTTGCAGATATCATTTTTGGCACAGGGGTTTGAAAAACCCATTTTCCAAAAACATGTGGCAACAAATGAGATCTGCAAAATACTCACCATGCCTCTTAGCAAATACCTTGGAGTGTCTATGTTCCAAAAAGGGGTCATTTGGAGGGTTTGCTTCTACTTTTCTGGCATTTCTGGGCCTTTTCTGACACACTTTGTTCACATGAAAAAACTGTGTTTTTTGCTAGAAAATTACTTTGAACCCACAAATATTATATAATTTTTTAAAGCAGAGGCCCTAGAGAATAAAACGGGTGTTGAAATTTTTTACGTCACACATTATTTGTGCAGCGATTTTTAGTACAAACACCCCCCCCCCCCAAATTACCCCTTTTTGGAAAGTAAACACCCCAAGGAATTTGATAAGAGGTGTACAAGTAAAACTTCAGCGCAACAAGCAACTCACCAACTATGTATCTTAGTGCTGCTGACACTTACATGCGTTTTCACACACAAATAGATATATCTTATAATAGTGTCGTGCATACAGTAAGTATAACATGTTTGTTATTTTTAAAAAAATGTAAGCCTTTAGAATCATTTTAGAAAATTGTTATATTAGGTAAATAACCTCATAAGAGATGACTATTTGTATAATGATAGACACAAATGAGGTGGGTGATCATTACACAGGGAAAAATTGACACTTTTCCATTGTACCTATAGACACATGGCTGGAAAAGCCCTGATTGGACTTAAAACTGAAGGGTGATTACACCACAACAGTCTGGGGGCAGGTGCTGTGTGGTGTGATGACGGCAGTAAGTCTGGTTGCAGTTAAACTTGTAATGAAAAGAGTGCCGAACTACAAACAATCTCAGCAAGAGAATGCCAGTCACGGTGAGACTTACAATTCAGTTCAATGCAGAGATGCAACTTTGCTATGCTGTGGATGTAGCACAGTTATATTTTTCAGAGTCATCTGCACTGACCTTGATAAGTTTTAAATAAGCTTTTATTTATTATTGGTACTTATATAGCACCATCAATTTATGCAGCACTTTACATATATATATATATTGTACATTCACATCAGTCCCTAACCCTCAAGGGACATACAATCTAAGGCCCCTAACTCACATTCATACATACACATACTAGGGATGCACACATACTAGGGATCCAATTAACCTACCAGCATGTCTTTGGAGTGTGGGAGGAAACTGGAGTACCCAGAGGAAATCCATATAGGCACAGGGAGAACATGAAAACTCCAAGCAGGTGGTGCCATAATTGGGATTCCAACCGATGACCCTAGTATTGCCAGGCAGAAGTGCTAACCATTTAGCTACTGTGCTGCCCTTTTCTTTTCCTGGTGTCTCTGGTTATTTTTATTCTTCCCCTTAATGATTGGGCATAAAATAAATCCCCATTATAGATAATGAGACCCATCCACTCCAGGCCCTTTCCAAGACACTGTCATACCTATTCCACACGGTAAAGCTGGCTGCCATCAGTGAGAAGTGAGTCACTGTACATGTTATTTTCATAGTCTGTGCTGGCTTCACAATGTTGGGACCAGACTCTATGAATGACTCCTGTGAGTTCACATCTGTAAAGCACAAAGAGCATATCTAATTAGAAATATTCAATAAAAAGGACACATTTTTAAATGAAACAAAATAGGTTTACAATATGCCGAGAACACCACATGAATACACTTATCAGACTCTTCATGCTGAGATATTCGCTCCTCTATCACTAGAAGACCTAGTTTTCACAAGCTGGACCTCTTAACTATTTCTATGTGTTGTAAAATGGTCGTTTGCATATTATTCTGAGATATATATATATATATATATGTCCATGTCTTACAGCATTGCTTAAACGCTTGCAGACCGCCCCACAGGGTGGTAGGGTGCCCACTCTGCACTGCATCACATGCCTAGTACATGATCCGGCCCAACAGGTTTGGGGCGCGTTCACAGCACAAGCTGATCAATGGGTCCCAGCCAATCATTGATGGTTGGGACCTGCTGATCAGCTCAGCAAATCACAGAACAGTTCCCAATGTTGGAAAACAAAAATTGGGCATTGTACACTGACAAATGATATTGCTGTTGTTTGTTTTTTTTTTTTGTCTGTGAGGAAGGAAAAAAAACAAGATATTTTAGTAAAAGCAGCTCACAGTAAACACATTGTTAGGCACACAGTTAACCCCTTGATCACCCCTAAATGGTAACTTCCCAGCCAGTGTCATTAGTACAATGACAGTGTAAAGTTTTAGCACTGATCACTGTAGTAATGTCACTATTGATGTCAGTGTCAGATTAGTACCCAGACAGTGCTAGCTAGTGTCAGATTGCCTGCTACACTATCACAGTCCCACTATAAGTTTCTGATCACCACCCTTACTGATATAAATAAACAAACAAACAAATAAATAAATAAATTAATTATTAATTAAAATGCCAATATATATACACTATAGTTTGTAGACACTATAACTTTCACGCAAACCAGATAATATAGACTTATTGGGCTTTTTTTTTTTTTTTTTACCAAAAACATGTAGCAGAATACATTTTGTCCTAAATTTAAGAAGAAATTAGATTTTTAAAAAATTTTTATTGGATGTGTTTTATAACAGAAAGTAGAAATGTTTTTTTCAAACATTTCAGGTCTAATAAAAAATAAAAAAACCCAGTGATGATCAAATACCACAAAAATAATTTTATATATATATATATATATATATATAAATATACATTTCATTTCATGACTGCACAATTGTCAAAGTAGCATGGTGTTGAATGGCAAAAAATGGCCATAAAGGGGGAAAAATCTTACAGAGGGCAAGTGGTGGGCATTTTTTTTAAGACTAACCCTTTTTGCTAATCAGGCAGCTTTGTGCAGTTTCGGCTTTGGTGATCAACCACTTTGACTCTCATACCTATTCAGAGCAATTTTTAAATTTTTTACAATTCTCCTATAGACCTCGTTATTCAGAAATAACTTTGTCATTACTTAAGATAACAAGTTAATACATATATTTTAAAGGACAAACAAGTCTTCTTTTTTCATAATGATTGGCTTGCAACAATTATTATTTTTGCAATCCTTAGACAACTAAATGTAACAAAACTAAACAAAATGCACTTTTTCATTTTTTGACCAGAGTTGATTTAAAAATAGATTTGAAAAGAGCATATTTTATTCTGTAATTTGCCTGGAATAAAGTGGTTTTTTTTTATTTGCACTTTTTAAAATGTGGAATGCGCAAATACGGTACATGTTAAATGTATAAAAATATTAACAAACAAATCAAACTAAAACAAAAGAAGTTTAAAGATTAAAGGTTAATGTAACAGAAACAAGCAAAAAAATCAGCAGGAAAGTGAAAATTGAATGGAAAAGAAGAATAAATAGTTAATTAGGGCTGAAATAAGGGGTTAAACAGAAAAATGTTTTATAAAAGAAAAAAATACAAAAACACTTTATACTTGTCAAGTTGCTTTAACTGACTTCATTTGCTGATCAAAGTTTATCCCTTCGCTCTGCAGATAAATGAACAGAATGATACAAAGGAACAATATGTTACATTGTATATTTCCATAGTGTAAGTTATTATGTTATTATGTTTATTTATTATGTAGTGCTATTTATAAACACTGTCAGACTGTTTTTTTTTTTCGTTTTACAGCTAAAGCTGCAGATCATCTGTGTATACAGCAATGCTGGCTTTGTGTAGTTACAGAACTATTAGTACAGAAGTAAATTCAGTTTTGGAATGAAACGCAACGCTGCTTCTGTCAGTTTTCTTAGCTGTTGGCTAATCATTAGTAGGACAGCGCAGTAAAAAGGCATCTGCATACAGGCAAAGATAGAGCAGCTTCACAGTAAAAAAGCATACATGTAAAGGAGAAAATAAGGAGCTGCATTTGAAAGTGAAAGAGCCCGCAAGAAAAATGTACTTGGAACTGTACTCCGCTTTAATTCATACATGATGGATTCAAATAGAAGTGTGGATATTCCATATCAAACTTCAAAGAGCAGGTTTCATATGTTTAGCTCCAGGAATTCAGTGAATTCCAGCAGATCATCAGTCAGTTCTGAAAGCCACAGAGCAAGAGCAAAAGAAAAAGCAGTGTGAGTCTTATACGCTCAAAAAGAAGCTGACTTGCTGAGGCAGAAAGCAGAGTTAGAAGCCACCTCCTTGAAGCAGAAAACCTAGCTAGAAGCCAACTCCTGAAAGCAGAGTTTCAGTCACACTGTGAAAAAATAAGTAAGCAGCTATAAAAACTGTAGCTGTTGACTTTTAAAAAACCCGCCACTCACATGTCCCTTGATCACATGGTGTCCTCCCTGCAGTTTCAACAGGCTGTCCGGTGTTCCCAGTGCCAGCATCTTCAGTGTGGGCATCCGGCTGTGACAGCCTGCGGCTTCACAGCCGGGTGCCCACTGGGCATGTGCGAGTAGTGCTGTGCTTTCTGAATGGTCTGGGACCTGTCAAGTGTCCCAGAAGACTACCCCTGCTCCCCAAAGGTGCCAATCCTTAATGGGGAGTGGGAGACCAGTCTTTAAAGCATAACTTCCCCTATTTGGGTGGAGCTCTGCTTTAAGGCAGAAAGCAGAGCTAGAAGCTAGTATGCATGTGCTGCAAAGTCAAAGGGCAGTAGCAGCAGCTGCAGAAGAAGCTGTGGTATACGAAACTGCGATTGGTTTGGAAAGAGATTTGCTGCAAGATCTTGGAAATAGCAACTCATGATTCAGTGCAAAGGACTCAGGAATATGTACAGAACCATGCTTCAGACCAAGTTATGACAGAGTATGCTTCTTTCAAGCCTATCTCCTATGCGATCCTGCAATTTCCTGACTTGATATACCAACGCCTTCTCCAGATATATTTGTACTGTCCCCATTTTCTCATTAACTCTGAAACTGTCCCAGCTGCATATTCAAGAAAACAAGGACATACATGGGTTATCATGTATTCTCCTTAAGGAATGGTCCATTAGGATCCTCAGGTACTACTGATCTAGAAAAGCAACTAATTCAGCGAGAGTTAGTGAGCACTGGGCTACTAACATTTGATGATTGCCCCAAGAACTATTGGGAATGAAAGGGAATGAAAGACATCTTTCTAAGACATCATCAGATATCTCAGTCTTACGGAGGAAATAGATCTGCTACCAAAGTGTCTCAGATCACAGTCATCGTGACAGGCCAAGGTTTGTGCACATTCATGATTCAGCTGCTGGGTTTAGTATGGTATGGCAGAGATTAGAGAACTGTTATGGCAGTCCTGAAGCTATTCCTAATGCTTTGTTGAAGAAACTAGATTTCCCTAAAATATCTAACAAAAGCAACTTAAAGTTAAGAGAACTTGGTGATATGTTGTTGGAGGTCAATGCAGCCAAGACTGAAGGACAATTACTTGGGATACCTAGACAAAGGGCATGGGATTAAACCAATAGTCGAAAAGCTCCCATAAAGTTTGCATAAAGTTTGCAAGACAAGTGGATTTCTCAAGGCTCTAAGTCAGGCATGTCCAAAGTCCGGCCCGCGTTCCGGACTGAAACGGCCCCACAGGTGAGCTACCCAAATATATAACTTACGGCCCCCGGTAGTGATTCCCTGAAAGCTACTGAGGACTCCAGCGATCTCTTGACATCATCAGCTGGCACAGGAAGGAGAGCCCAAATCTCGCGACGTCCGAGATCTCGTGAGATTTGGGCTTTCCTTCTCTGTGTGCCGGCTGATGACGTCAATTCCCGATCGACAGATCCCTGGAGTCCTCAGTAGCGTTCGCAGAATCACTAGTGGAGGGCCGTAAGTTATATATTGGGCAGCTCATCTGTGGGGTCTGGAACGTGGGCCGAGGGATCCCAGGTGGTGCGCAGGGAATTACTACTGGGGCTACCATTTACCGTATTTTTCGCTCCATAAGACGCACTTTTTTCCCCCAAAAAAAGGGTGGAAAATGTCAGTGCGTCTTATGGAGCGAATATAAAGCGGCCGGTCCGGTATTTTCTGCCGCCACCATGTCAGAATACCGGGCCGGCCGCTCAGCTGTTGTCTCGTGCAGGGCCTTATCTGTTCCTCGCTCCAGCGCTGCACAGTCTTCCCGCGCTGGCTTCTGTGACAGCCGAGTGCCCACTGCGCATGCGCTTCGCTTTGTGAATGGTCATCGCAGTCTCTGGTCATCTGTACTGTGTTCGCAGTCTCTGGTCGTCTCCTGTACTGTGTCCGCAGTCTCTGGTCGTCTCCTGTACTGTGTCCGCAGTCTCTGGTCATCTCCTGTACTGTGTCCGCAGTCTGTGGTCATCTCCTGTACTGTGTCCGCAGTCTCTGGTCATCTCCTGTACTGTGTCCGCAGTCTCTGGTCATCCCCTGTACTGTGTCCGCAGTCTCTGGTCATCTCCTGTACTGTGTCCGCAGTCTCTGGTCATCCCCTGTACTGTGTCCGCAGTCTCTGGTCACCTCCTGTACTATGTCCGCAGTCTCTGGTCATCTCCTGTACTGTGTCCGCAGTCTCTGGTCATTCCCT